CCATCTTATCTTCTGTACACTCAGCCACCAAGACTTGTTGATGCCTCCTAAATATGCTCTACAATTAATTTTCTTTTCCTTCCATCTGCCTCTTTCCTAGTTCAAGCACAAATAATCTTTTTCTAAACTACTATTAACTGTTTTTCTTGTCCCTTGCTTTTAGTCTTGAATTGGGATTCTGTCTCTGAAATCTATTAAATTCTCTGAAGTTCTTCACTTTCTTTTCATCCTATCTCTTTTTCTCTATGGACTTTCCATGGGAGTTCTTGTCTACTTCCCTGGCTTTGATTACTGTTGATATGCTGAAAATAAACTTAGCATGTTACAATGTCCCACTGAGACTTTTTCCAGAGGTCCAGACCTTGAAGTTTAGCTGCTGGTTCTTCAAACTCAACTTGTTAAAAAATGAGTTGACCACTTTCTCCTTCCAACTGGATCTTGCTCCTCTATTCCCCATCTCAATGAATGACACCACCTTCTGTCATAAACCTGGATATGGTCTTTCTTTGTCAATTTCCCTATTTCCTTAAGTCAAATCAACCATCTGTAACTCCACCTCTTAAACATCTCCTGGCCTTTTCTCTTGTCGCCATTTCTATTGTCACTACCTTGGTCCCAGGCCAACTATCTCATTTAGATTTTTTTAAACCTGTATATCTGCATCAGCCTCATTTCTTTTTTGAGCTCTCTGTTTTCTTTCTGCAATCCATTTCTCATAGGGTAGAGAGAATGATCCTTCTGTCTACAAATATGCATTCCTTTGCCTGAAGTCTTTCAATGCTTTCCCATTGTTCCATTATTCTTATAATACATGTCCATGGCTTATAAAAAACCCATTGTAGTCTGGCCCCTTTTTGCCTCTCAAGCAGTCTTTCTCCCCACATACTCCCACTCTCATTCACAACACGAGGTCACTGGAATTCCATGGTTCCTTGAATGCACAATGCTTTCTCTAACCTCTGGACCATCTTGTATCATATTGTCTCTTCTTAGAGACTCCCTTTCCCTTCTTGATTCACCTTTTGCCTTACTACTTACTCATCAGCTTCTAGATCTCAATTTAACTTTATCTTTCACCCAGAAGTTTTCATTAAACACCAAATCAGATTAGACATTTGTCTTTGCTCTCATGGTGCCCTGTACTTACCTCTACTTTGTCTCTTAGCAAATTCTATTGCTTTTTTATGTTTAGCTTTCTGAGGGCAGGAATTTCATCTGTTTTGGTTATTCTTGTAGTCCTAGGTCATAACACAGTGCCTGGCACAAAATACATGCTCAAAAATAATACAATTTGATTAATTAATGAATTAACACATGGCTTGGGACAAGCAGTGCCCTCTTTTGAGAATGTTCTCCTTTGCACCCTTGCTAACTTGGCAAACTCCTGCTCACCATTCAAGCCTCAGCATCAATGTTTCTTGACTCCCTAAGGGAGTTGCAGTCCCTGTGACCCATATCACCCTCTTCCCCTTCATCATTTTTAGTATATTATTTGCTAGTGAGTCTGTTTGGACACCACACTTCAAAATCTCTAATGGTAGACACTGTCTTTTCATCTATGAATATTAGCACCCATTATCTGCTATAGAGCAAATGCTTAAATGCTTGCTAAAAGTTGGAGGGATTATAGTAATAATCTGATTTTTTTTTTCTGAAGATGATACACTTGACTTAATATAGTTCCAAGTAATTCCACATAGTTTGTTCATGAATGTGTAATAAGTTGTTTTTCTTACTGTGGGTACTAGTTGCTAAGTTATAGAATTTTCTCAATTCATTGAAGTTTGTATCTCACCTATGTTCTTTGTTTAGATGTGTTCAAGTCTCCATCACATGGAATGACGCATGCCCATATAATATTCCAAACTAAGTTTCAGAAAAAAGAGATTCATGACATCCTTTGGACCGATTTAGAAAACACAATGCAGGATCTTTACAGACATCTGAATATTTTCTAGGCTGTCCTATAGTACTGTGCAAAAATGAGAAAATGTAGACTTATGCAGGCTATCTAAAGTACTTAGATCAGTGATTGTACACTGTGGGTGATTTTGTGCCCCATGAGACATTTGGCAATGTCTGGAGACATTTGAGTTGTCACAGGTGTATATGTGAGTGATAATGGCTGATCTAATCAGAGGATGCTGTTAAAATTCTTTTTTTTTAAAAAAATTAATTATTGTCTTCTGCTAGCTTTTGAATTTGTTTGCTTTTGCTTCTCTAGTTCTTTTAATTGTGATGTTAGGGTGTTGATTTTAGATCTTTCTTGCTTGATTCTGTGGGTATTTGGTGCAATAAATTTCCCTCTAAACACTGCTTTGGCTGTGTCCCAGAGATTCTGGTACATCATGTATTTGTTCTCAGTGGTTTCAAAGAACTTATTTATTTCTGCCTTAATTTCATTATTTACTCAGTAGTCATTCAGGAGCAGGTTGTTCACTTTTCATGTAGTTGTGAGGTTTTGAGTGAGTTTCTTAATCCCGAGTTCTAATTTGATTGCACTGTAGTCTGAGAGGGTGTTACAATTTTTGTTCTTTTGCATTTGCTGAGGAATGTTTTACTTCCAATTATGTGGTCAACTTTTGAATAAGTGCAATGTGGTGCTGAGAAGAATGTATATTCTGTCTATTTGGGGTGAAGAGTTCTGTAGATGTCTATTAGATCCACTTATTCCAGAACTGAGTTCAAGTCCTGAATATCCTTGTTAATTTTTGCTTTGTTGATCTGTCTGATATTGACAGTGGGGTGTTAAAGTCTCCCACTATTATTGTGTGGGAATCTAAATCTCTTTATAAGTCTCTAAGAACTTGCTTTATGTATCCGAGTGCTTCTGTATTGGGTGCATATATATTTAGGATAGTTAACTCTTCTTGTTGCATTGATCCCTTTACCATTATGTAATGCTCTTCTTTGCCTTTTTTGATCTTTGTTGGTTTAAAGTCTGTTTATCAGAGGGTTGGATTGCAAAACCCTGTTTTTTTTTGTTTTTTTTTGCTTTCCATTTGCTTGGTAAATATTCCTCCATGAACAAAGCCTTCCAGAAATATGGGACTATGTGAAAAGACCAAACCTACGTTTGATTGGTGTACCTGAAAGTGATTGGGTGGATGGCACCAACTTGGAAAACACTCTTTAGGATGTTATCCAGGAGAACTTCCCCAACCTGTCAAGACAGGCTGACATTCAAATTCAGGAAATACAGAGAGCATCACAAAGATGTTCTATGTGTGTCTTTGCATGTGAGGTGGGTCTCCTGAATACAGTACACTGATGGTGTACTTCACTTTTTATCCAGTTTGCCAGTCTGTGTCTTTTAATTGGGGCATTTAGCCCATTTACATTTAAGGTTAATATTGTTATGTGTGAATTTGATCCTGTCATTATGATGCTAGCTGGTTATTTTGCCTGTCATTAGTTGATGCAGTTTCTTCATGGTGTTGATGGCCTTTACAATTTGGTATGTTTTTGCAGTGATTGTTACCAGTTTTTCCTTTCCATATTTAGTGCTTCCTTCAGGAGCTCTTTTAAGACAGGACTGATGGTGACAAACTTTCTCAGCATTTGCTTGTCTATAAAGGATTTTATTTCTCCATTGTTTATGAAGCTTAGTTTGGCTGGATATGAAATTCTGGGTTGAAAATTCTTTAAGAATATTGAATATTGGCCCCCACTCACTTCTGGCTTGTAGACATATAATCATCAAATTCACCAAGATTGAAGTTAAGGAAAAAATGCTAAGGGCAGCCAGCGAGAAAGGTTGGGTTACCCACAAAGGGAAGCCCATGAGACTAGTAGCGGATTGCTGAGACTTTCTGGAGCATTTCTAAAAGTTTGTCCAAAATTTTCTGAATTTTTGATTGTTTTTTGTTTAAGCCATCTATTTCCCGGAATATTTCTACTTTCACTTCTTGTATCATTTTTTGGATTTCCTTGCTCTGGGATTTGCCTTTCTCTGGTCTCTCCCTGATTAGTTTAATAACTAACCTTCTGAATTCTTTTTCAGGTAAATCAGGGATTTCTTCTTGGTTTGGATCCATTGCTGGTGAACTAGTGTGATTCTTTAGGGGGTGTTGAACAGCCTTGTTTTGTCATGTTACTAGGGTTACTTTTCTGATTCCTTCTCATTTGGATAGGCTCTGTCAGAGGGAAGGTCTGGGGTGAAGGCTGTTGGTCAGATTCCTTTGTCCCACAGAGTGTTCCCCTGATGCAGTACTCTTCCCCTTTTCCTATGAATGTGGCTTCCTGTGAACTGAACTGCAGTGATTGTTGTCTCTCTTCTGGGTATAGCCACCCACTGAATCTACCTGGCTCCAGGCTGGTACTGGAAGTTGACTCCACAAAGTCCTGTGATGTCAACCATCTATGGGTCTCTCAGCCATGAATACCAGGGCCTGTTCCAGTGGAGGTGGTGGAGGGTGCAATGGACTCCATGAGTGGTGGAGTCCAGGCTTAGCTTTGGTGTTGGTGGTTTAATGCTTTATTTTTTAGATGCTGTTCACATTCTTACAATGTGCCAAAGAATTGGTTCAAAATATTAATAATGTCAAAGATGAGAAATCAGACTTAGATGAAATAAAAGTCTCAGTTCACTCAAATGCACTTTCCTTTTCAGGATAGAGCATAAATAATACTCTACTTACAACCACAAGACCTAAGTACAGTCCCACCCAGGAGCCCTTGCTCTTATATTTTGATGCTTTTATCTTTAAATTTTTATTTTAATATCTATCTCATGGGGTTGTTACAAAAAGTAAATATTATAAGCTATGGGAAAAGCCTTAGTTCAGTATCTGGCAAATAGTTGCCCATGAGATGTTTGTAAAACCAGGTCCATAAACAACATGGGGGATGGGGTTTAGGAGGTAGAGATGAATGAAATTTACCCTGAATAGTTCCTGAGTACCTCATGCTTTCTAGGATTGCGCCTACGTCACCACTTTTGGGAACACTTTAGAGAGGAGTGGGCATTAACAAAGATCCAGGGACATACACATACGTACTTTTTGTTCTTTTCGCTCCACAGCTGCGTTGCATTTTTCTATTCCCCAGTTTCTCAAAAAATCTCTGAGATAGCCAAACAGGGTTCCAATTCCATATCCCATGTAAGTGAAAACCATAACATGAAGGGGTGCTTCCTCAAAGGATTCAACAATGAGCTTATCATAAAAATGTGGCTTCCCATTTTGCTGAAAACACAGAAGAAAATCCAAGATTAGCATTCTCCTGCTACACATATGCTATGATAAAATTGTGAATTTTCAACCCTTTAAATAAATTCTAAAGACCATATATAAGATTGTAAAAAAATTAGACACTGATCATTAAAGAGAATAATCACAAATGCAAACTTTATTTTACAAGCTATAGTAACATAATTGATTCAAGCAAAAGTTCTCAACAGAAACTCAACGATTAGGTGAAGAGTTAATGAGGAATAGAGTGTGTGCAGGTTGCTAAAGTATGACCCCATAGCCTACTTCCTAATCACAAACTTGGGGTTGTTACCTTAACCAGGTGATCAAATTATATCACAAATGTTAGAACAAGCAGCCACTCTACATTCCTGTCATGTGTGATATTCAATACACAGCACACCTATGAAATATTTTACCCGAACTTAGTTAAGCTCTTATGTCTAACTTCCATTTTACAAGAAATACTAGGCTAAACAAACATGGTACACAATCAGATAATACGGAATGTAGAACTTACATATGTATTATCTTCATTCCTTCTACATTTTTGAGAAGCAGAATTTTTGGAATCTGTGTGATTTAGTCACTGGGAGTTTTATCCCAAGCCACAAAATAGATGAAAAGCAAATCAGTCTGGTAGATGAATATTTTAAATCTCTACGTTCTTATTCTTAAAGAAATTTTTAAAAGCCATATTTTATAGTGATACCTAACATTTGAATTCTTAAGTCAAAATACAACAAAATATTATTAAAATTATTTGCCTCCTTATTTATTTATTATTTCAGGTTACCACTATAGATACCCCAAACTAACACTGGTGGATATTCCTGTCTAGTGTGTCATCCCAAACACTACTTGATGGTATAAAATAATGAAAATGAAAGAACACTGGTTAATATGCAGTCTTGAGTAAAAGGAAAATGACAGGTCACATTCTTGACTTGTATATAGGGCATTTGTTGCAGCCTTCCATGAGCAAACAATGTGTTTAGCACTGGGGATTAAAAGATGAACAAGACGGACCCCATTCCTAGTCCTCCCTCTGACTATGTCCTTACCCCAGTCATGTAGGTCTGACAGATGGCTGATCTTGCTATGCTATTTTAGTACAAACCTTTGGCTCCCTTCCTTGGCTCTGTTCTGCACTTGACCATTGGACTACATCAATCTCCATCCAGCATTCCAGGTGACCTCCTGGCCCAGTTAAAATCCACCATCCTTCTGCATCACGGGTACACAAAATTGGTTTCCTTGCTGGATTTATCCAGACTCTAGCAAAAGAGACTCAGAGTCTCATAAGGAAGACATGATGGAACTTTATATCTGATTAGATATAAAGTTAAGGAAGAGGAAAAAGAAAAGTATCTGCAAGGAGCAGTATAGTATTGTTGATAAGAAGAGAGAAGGACTTGGAAGGAGGGCTGCTTTTTGGAGAGAAGACATGAGTCTGTACAGAAAATGCTAAGTTAGGGGTAGTGATTGCCTGCAGGAATTCCCAGAGCAGTGAGGAATGCAGGAAAAAAGAAAGACCCTGACTCAGTCAATTACTATGGGCCACAGTTTAAGTGATGGTTGAAGGTGAATGTGATAAGGTACAAATCATAAAGAGGGAAGAGCAGTAGGCTTGGGACAGAATTTGTGGACACAGTGCTTTTTTGGGTACCGCAGAAGAAAAAGGGTGAATAAAGAGAACCCAGTGTGGGTGACCTCAGAACCTTAATTTAACCTGTTCACAAATTAACCCCTTTGGCTGACTTAGAGAATGGATAAGTTATGTGGATGTACATAAAGAGAGAAAATGTGAGGACATTCGAGTTCAACCCATGGGAGTCTTTTTCCTTTCCTGGTCTCATCTTCATTTCTGAGCTTCACATGTAACCAAATCAAGTGGAGTGTTTCTCTTGAAATCCATGGGCAGTTTCTGCTTCAATTAGCTCAGAGGCAACCCTGCACTGTACATCACAGCTGGTCTACCTAGATGCAAATAAAACTCACAGTTGGTTGCACAGACTGGGCCTATATGTAACTATTTATTTGCTCCTGTGACTTGTTCTGGTAGCAAGTAATAACACAAAGGAGAAAATTTCAACAATATTCATCAGCCCAAACCGATATCTACTTTCCTCTCATATGAATAGATACATTTTTAATTTAATTTAACTTAATTAATTTTATTTGGCAGAGAAAAAATGAGATATCTTCCCAGAGTAAAAAGCTATCTGGAAATGTAGTGGTCTTCCTTAACAGATAGATAGTGACTCATTTACTATATTGTTTTACTTATAATTGAAGTCAGTCACAACAGATTCCTCAATCTGTCGTTGGATAGTTATTTTGAAACATAAAATTTCATCCTATCACAGTAAATGTAGTAAGTAAATTTGCTTAGTAAGTTTACATTTGCTAAGCACTTGTTATTACTGCAGATAAGCATTGCTTTGTTTAATACACTTTGGCTTGTTCTACCTTTTCTTTTACAGCGTTAAAAATAAACAGATCCTGAGCCACACTGCCCACAGTGTCTAGTCATTTGGGATACTGTGACATCCTGGGGTTTGTTTAATTTCCTGTACCTTCTGTCATATCTGGAAATAAACTGGGTGCTGGAATATGCAGGGAGGACCCACCTTTATGGACAATTACTCTTCCATTCAATGGGTAGCTCTTTTACTGGCTGTCTTAGGCTAATATTAAAGGAGCTATGAACTCAATAAATACAGTATGTTTCCTCCAGAATCAATAGTACAATAGGGTGTGTGTGTGTGTGTGTGTGTGTGTGTTTGTGTGGTGGGGACACAAATGTTCATAATATAGAGCAAAACGTGAATGTCATAGGATGATACTAATGAAGGGACCACATCACACTGGGTGATCAGGAGTGGTTCCCGAGGAGGCTGACCTGGAGCCTGGTGTTGCTGGGAGGTTGAGCATAACAATGAAGATGACTTGCTCAGGGCTCAGACTTTGCTGATGGTGTGACCTTGTGAAAGTCACTTAATTTTTTGAGGCCTCAAATGTCTCCAGTGTAAAGTGGAGCTAGTAAAGGTTGTTTCTGAAAATTAGGTGAGATAATATATGCAGGTTAACTGCCACAACACAAAAACTCATTAAATGTTATGGTTTTTGTTAAATATTCTGAATAGAGATGAGAGATTAAAGTTTTAGAATGAATAATGCTGCTTTTAGAGACATATTTGAGAAAAAAGAGAAAGAGAATATATACATGTGTATATATTGACCGAGGATATATATGGCTTCTTTGTTGGATTTGTCCAGACTCTGGCGAAATGACTGAGAGTCTCATGAAGAAAGACATGAGACCAAAGATATACACTGACCTAGGATATATTGATAAGAATATAATGTATTGGCCAGGCACAGTGGCTCACACCTGTAATCTTAACACTCTGGGAGACTAAGGTGAGTAGATCACCTGAGATCAGGAGTTCAAGACCAGCCTGGTCAACATGGTGAAACCCCATCTCTACCAAAACATATAAAAATCAGCCAGGCATGGTGCCAGGTGCCTGTAATCCCAGCTACTCAGGAGGCTGAGGCAGGGATAACTGTTTGAACCTGGCAGGCGGAGGTTGCAGTCAGCTGGGATTGCGCCATTGCATGCCAGTCTGGGTGACAGAGCAAGACTCCGTCAAAAAAAAAAGAAGAAGAATATAATGTATCAATACATAGGGAAAAGGGGGAGAATGATGGTCCTCTAAGGAGAGAGCAAGTGGGAGAGGGAGGAAGAAGTGGGAGACAAAAGAGTGATACAAAGTTGAGACACTGAAGTTCAACAAGACCATTGCATATGTGGACTCTCACAAGAAAACTTGAGGGAGTAATTTTATCAGCCGTTATTTCTGCAGTTTTATCAGACTACAGGGATTTAAGGAGAGAGAGAATGTGAAGACAATGGGATAGGGAGCTGAGGGGACTTATTAGAGAAGTGTAGTGGTAGGGAAGAGGACAGAGAGAAGGTGAAGGCTTTGGTTACTAATAGTTACAGGAGTTGCATATTTTGCAATAAAGAAATACTGAGTGTATACAGGAGCTAAGAAAAATATTTAATAGATTAAGCATAATTGAAGAAACAGGTAAGAGACAGTATAAGCCCTTTGACCTCTTGAGGGATGCAGGATGAAGAGTGCATGTGACTGTCCTGACCACAAGGACACAGACTATGTCAGCACTTTGAAAAATGTGGTGCAGACCCTTCTTGTGCTCTAGCTCTTTAGAAATATTAAACAAAAGGATGAGCAAATCTAAAACCAACTTAAGACTGCAAATTCACCACCCATTCATAAAGAGACTTTTGTTTTCAGAGTGAGGGAGCCCATGTAACATGACACATTCCACTACACAGCTGGGTTAGTCCTTGGAAAAAAAAAAGTCAGGATGAGAATGAGGAGGAAGAGGATGCTTTCAGGCCTTAGATACTCTAGAAGGGCAGGAAGCTTGGGGTTAAGATTAGCTCAAGGAGAACGAAGGCAAAGGAAATCTAGAGCACTGGAGCTAATGAGAGGGCTATGTTCCTTTCTGAAGTGGAATGTACACGGGGTTTTCCACATCATGATTAAGATTGGCATAGATCCTTCTCTGAGGGAGAATACAAACTTCCAAGGATACTGGCATTTAAGAATAAGTTTCTGCCTACATTGTAGCAGTTAGGTTTTGAGAAAGGAAACAACCACTGTGAGTGTTATAGAATAAGGGATTTACTTTAAACATTATGTGGTATCCAAATTAGGAGCTGCTTAAAAATCTGTGGAAGGTAGATAATTTTCCTGCTGGTGGCATAAAGAACTTCAGAGATCATCTTCACAGTAGAAAAAAATAATAATTGGTAAAAGTTATAAAAACATAACCTTTTAAAGTATTTGGACATTGTCTTAAGGGCATCTAGCAAATGAAGAAACATTTATTTAAGAAAATATACTAAATATCAAAAAAGAACAGTGAGAGTCTGTGGCATTGAGCCATGACCTACT